GAATCATTCATTCGACTACTAAGCCTACGGGCTGCTTTTATTTTGAGTTCGAGCAATTGCTCACTCGACCATTAAGACTACGGGTTACTTTAATCATTAAGCCTACGGGCTACATTGCATCGAGTTCGAATCATTCACTCGACTACTAAGCCTACGGGCTGCTTTTATTTCGAGTTCGAGCAATCGCTCACTCGACCATTAAGCCTACGGGTTACTTTAACCATTAAGCCTATGGGCTACATTGCATAGAGTTCGAATCATTCACTCGACTGTTAAGCCTACGGGCTACTTTTATTTCGAGTTCGAGCAAGCACTCACTCGACTATTACGCCTACGGGCTACATTATTTCGAGTTCGAATCATTCACTTGACTACTAAGCCTACGGGCTACTTTTATTTCGAGTTCGAGCAATCGCTCACTCGACCATTAAGCCTATGAGTTACTTTGACCATTATGCCTACGGGCTACATTATTTCGAGTTCGAATCATTCACTCGACCACTAAACCTACGGGCTACTTTTATTTCGAGTTCGAGCAAGCACTCACTCGACTGTTACGCCTACGGGCTACATTGCATCGAGTTTGAATCATTCACTCGACTACTAAGCCTACAGGCCACTTTTATTTCGAGTTCAAGCAAAACTACTCACAAGGCCCGAAGGCAACAGAGATCTAAATTCAAACTATCTATTTAGTTTGAAAGGCTATTTTTCTTCAAAAACAAGAAAGATTTATATTTTCAAATTTTTTGTACAGAGGCGGCTACTCTTCTAAAAGGAGGTTCTTTATACAAAAACCGAAAGCGGTATCAAAAGAACGCAGCGATCGACCTAAGGCCCTAAATGACTCAATCTTCATCGGAGGTCGTATTCTCAGCATCGCCCTCGTCTTCAGACTCCCCCGAGTCATCGGAGTCCTCCTAAGGAAATGCCAACCTCCGAGCTTTGTTCTCCTCCGCCCTGGCGACTTCAATCTCGGCCCCAACATCGAAGCCCTGAGCTCTGACCATGCTCGCAGCTTTGGATTGATTAACCTCGATATCGATCCTGAACTGAGCCACTTTGGCATCAGCTCTTTTGTTGGCCTCGACCACTTCAGATCTGGCCACTTCGAGTTCTTTGGCCAAATCTGCTTTATCTAAACTGGCCGAACTCAACCGATGCTAAAGTTCTTTCATCTTTTCGATCAGCCCCAAAGCATTTTCTTTCGCAGATCGAAGTTGGGCATCTGACAGCTCCAACTGAACTTCGACGGTTTCCTTTTTCGAGGCAAGGTTATCCATACACTTTTTAAATTCTTCTACCTCGGCCAGTAGCGCATCTACCTGTGAGTTAAGCCGTCCAATCTGCTCGATCCTCTGCCGAACCTGCACAATCGGATCGTTAGAGGTTATCTCTTTTTCATCTTCACTATCATGGAACATTCGGAATACCTGCTCAGCTATCTCCTCATGCTCTTCCCGAGCCGCTGTCAAATCTGCTCGAAGTTTTTCACTAAGAAGCTTGTACGAGTCACTCTTCTCAGTGAGGCTCTGAACCTCGGCGTCATGCTCCTCCCTGATTCAAAGAAAGGCCTCGTGATGTAACACCGAAGCCTGCAAATAAAAGGAGAAACATTAGAATTACCTGCAACTGTGTGTAAAAGAAGCGGCGAAAACGCCATTAAGAGTTACCCGATTCAAAGCATGTTGGGCCTCATTGAAGAGACAGGCGGGCCCCACCGCATTCATCACTGATTGATCTTCTTCGGTCACCAAGGACCGAAGGTAACTGGCAATCCCCATAGGGGAAGGAAAAATTCGGGTATCCACAGGTACGGAGAGCACTATCTTCCGCCTTCGGTCGGGATCGATACTCGGGGCCGGAAATCGGTCCACCAGTTTATGAATCGATGAAGGCTCGGTGGAACCCGACCACGACGCTCTTTTGGGTACCGGCATTCCACCAAAACTGGTAACCTCCTCCGAGGTACCTGACTCGAGCCCCTCCAGAAAATCGTGGATATCGGTCGACTCCTGAATACCCTCATAGGACCGATCCTCCAACATGACGGCCTCTCAAATCATGGCATCCGAAATTTGAGGGGATCCGCCAATGTCAACTATCTTGAACTCATCCCTTGAAATATATTCTACCGCCCGAGAAGATCCACCCTCGGTATCCCTTCCAATCATCTTAGCTCGAGAAGGGATAATCTCGGCTTCTTCTTGTTCTGGGATTATGGCCAAGGTTCCCTGATCTGCTTCCACCAAATTGGAAGACTGTTGAATCACCACATTAGCCCGTACGCACGCTAAATTCTACTCTCCTTCTTCGGGCTCGTCCCTTGAATAGCGGACCGCTTCTGAAGACATAACACCAGAGCCCCCCTTCGGCTTTTGAGATCTCTTAGCCAGTTTCTTCTTTTTCGAGGTCGGGGAGCCCGATACGTCTTTTCTCTTCCTTTTTTTCACCTGCTTGAGGACAGGAACTTCTTCGCCGCCAGATGGCGGCCTCATGACTACATCTTTCCCAAGTCCTACAAAGGGGAAGAGGGAGATTTACCATACAAATCGATGAAGAGACAAAGTCGACAAAAAGATTTACCATGACTGCTGGCCTCCCATCGACCCTTTGATAATTCAATCCAAGCACGTTCGGAGTACGGTCTCTGCAACACCAGGCTTTCGACCCATTGTCTAATATCCGGGATTGGTTCCGGCATTCGAGCTACGGTTGTGATAAGGAAAAGTGGATCAACAAAATAGAAAGCAATCACAAAATCAAAATGGGCAAAAAGAAACGTTTACTCACAGCTCATATTCCATTTCTCGAGAAATGGCAAGTTATCGGCAGGGATCAGATCCGAGGTTCTGATTCGAACAAAACGGCCCATCCAACCCCGATCCCGGGTCTCATCTATGCTCGAGAATGGCGCTTTGGTTGCTGTACAAACAAGCTTGATCAGCCCTCATCTATAAAGTCGGGGACTGTAAAGACGCATAAGATGATCGAGGGTGAAGATACGCCCCTCGACCTTGCTCGAGAAAAATAGAAGAAGAATCACTATCCTCCAAAAGGAATGGTGGATTTGGCCGAGGGTCACATCGTACCTCTTACAAAAGGCAACGATGACAGGGTCTAGGGGTCCCAACGTAAAAGGATAAGTATAAATACTTAAGAACCCTTCGACGTAGGTAGTAATTGATTCATCGGGCGATGGGATTACTAGAATTTATTATCCCAGTTGCATTCTTGTATGACTTTATCGAGAACTTTTTCGGTGATTAAACATTGGTACCTCGACATCGGCTCACACCGACCCGGTCTCGGAAAAGGCTTTTCAATTTTAAAATCGCCTACGATCGAACACCCAACCGGAATGAATTCCTTAGGGCGGGGCTCTTCCACATCCTCGCCATCAGCAGGTTGAGATGAAGAAGCGGTCTCTTTTTGCGGAACAGTTTTAGACGTTTTTGCCATTTTAAATTTCGTAAACAAAGAACGGAAGTATTTGGTGTTCTAAGGAAGAGTTTGCAGTAAAGCTCACAGGTTTACAGGCAGAAAACTCAGAAAAGACGAAAAGGAACTTGCAAAATTCGGAAGATTGAAAACGTAAAAGTGATGAATAGTGGAAGGAAAGGCTATTTATAGATTAAAACAATGACGGTTCAATATCAGAGGTGGCCGACCGCCGTCTGACACATTAAATGTCTCGGTAAAACCGAACCGATGGGACAGCTATCACATACGTCATGGTCGGGATCGATGAAAACGTTAGTATATATCTGATCGAGCTGTTGGAAAATCATATCGTTTCTCGCCACATCCTTTACTAAGAAACGAGAGGACTATCTGTATACGGTCAAAACCGATTTGAGTCAATCGTACGGACTGATCGAGACGATAATGTTTCGATCAAAGGATATCTGCATGATAAGCTCGGTCGAGATCCGAAGTAAGGGCGGCGAGCTTCGAGCTCTAAGACCGATCAGTGACAAGCTCGATATTATTATCGAGCCCATATCCAAATCGAACTACGAGGCAAAGCGGAGATTATCAAAGATGCATGGACCGACCAACACTTACCCCGAATACCGAGACCCCAAGTCAGAATCGAGCTCGGGCTAAGGCCGAGGGCTTGATCCAACACCAAGCTCGAGCCAGTATCGAGCTCGCAGACTAGGGCCGTTGCAACCACATTATGGGACAGCATCTTGGCGGAAATCGAGGAAAAGACAATACATCATAGGCATCTTGGCGGAAATCGAGGAAAAGACAATACATCATGGGCTCTCCACTAACGTATTTTTTATTGTATATAAAATAGGATCCCTCTACTATAAAAAGGGACATGGATTGTAAGTAAGAGGGACACACTGTAACAAAAGATCACTTCTCATATTGAAAGATATCTCTTTGTGCTTGTTTTATTTTATCCTATTCATTCTTTTACTCATTATTTGCATTCTCATAGTCAAGAATACACATATCTCTATTTCTCTACACAATTTATATCAAATTGTATCGCATATCCTTAGAACCATACACAAATCTAACGTTATCCGATTTTTCTAGTAAACACAAACCAAAGACCCGAATGCCCAATTTGCTGTTGGTCCAACTTGGATTGATATTGATGCGCTCAAAAGTAACGGACTGAGCATTATATGGTGAAATTCTTTTTCAAAAAATCACACTATATCTTGTACTCATTTTGTTCCGGTTTACGTGAACTTTGTTTCGGTTTGCTTGAACATATTTATTTTTGGTTGTTTAGAAAAGAATCACTTTTTTTTAAATTTGAAAATAATTTAGCTTAAATTTTCTATTTTATTCTTAATAAGAAGGTTTTATAACTACACAAATACTCTGAACTTATTTTTGACTTGTTTAAAATCATAAATTTAAAAAAAAATTATTTTTCTTAAACTTCGTGCCCAATTAACTAAGTTCATTTGGATCGAAACGGCGACATTATTAGCTTAGTTCCAATTCCAACTCACAGCAAGATTAAGATATAGTCAATAGATTTCCTTTTCCTCTGTATTTTTCATACAATAAAATAAAGGTTACTACAAACAGCACAACACTTTACATATATCATACATGTAAAGAAAACCCCAAAAATCCAAAGAAAACATTACATCTTACTTATTTTTACAAGCTGAGTTAAGTTAAAATCTCTTACAACCCTAATTATTTAACTCAATAATCAATACTAAAAAAGACAGTCCGGCGCACTAAATTTTCAATATGCGCAAGATTCGGAGAAGTGTCGGACCACAAGTACCTATTGTACGCCGTCTTACCTTGCTGACGCTCGAACCCGTTACCTCCTTGTCAATAATCAATACCATCTTCTTTATTTCTTCTCACAAGTGCAAAATACCCAAGAACAGCACAAATTGCAGCAACTAAATTCCCTTCTCTAATCAACACCTTAATTATAAACCCAATAATCTCAGCAGTCATTTTCTTCCCTTCTAAAACCAAATCCTTTCTCCTTTTTCCAGCAAATGTTAATAAAACCAATATACTAATCCATGTCACAAGTGTAGCTGGAACAACAACAACTAAAGCTGCTACCATTGATAAAACCCCAAAAGCAACTCCTAATACCAAAGATGCATACAAAGCTGATGAAGTTGAGTTAAGGGGTACAGTTGATTCGTACCAAGAAAGTACTGATTTGAGAAAATTCCAAGAAAGTGATAACAAGATTGTGTAAACTGTAATAAAGAGAAAAACCCATGTTCTTCTTTTGCTCATAAGTTTTAAGAAAAACATAGAGGAAGTAGCTGATGGTGGTATTGGTGATGTTGGGAATAGAGGAGGTTCTAATTCTTGTTTAGTTTCAGCCATTGATTCTGTTGCTTTGGATTTGCTCTTTCTATTTCTCTCCTCTTTCCTTTCTTTTGATTTTTGTTGCTTGATGTGGTTTGTGGATATTTTTGGTGAATAGGGTTTTAAGGACATTAGTGTGAAACTTTTTTACTTTATTGAAGTGCTTTTAACATGTTAGACATTGTTAAGTTATCTTTTTTTATTAAGTCACCAATTTAAGTTTAAAATAAAGAGCTATAGCACTTGTTACTTTCTCAGTCTTAATTTATGTAATAGTATTGGCCAAGTCAGAGTTTTAATAAAATAGACTTCTAAAATTTATGATTTAAAATAAACCAAAAACAATTATGACAATATATTATTTCACAAACGATAAAATGAAAAGTTTCAGGTATTAATTATAAAAATGTATTCTTATTTTTTTGCAAGTGAAAGAAAAAATATAACATAAATTAGGAAAGAAAAAGTATTACCTTATGATTTTAATTTTCTAACTACAAAATTATTTAAAAGAAAATTAAAGCAAACTTCTTTACTTCTTAAAATAAGTAAATATGTCATGTGATAGATAAAGTATAACATGCTATAAAGGTTCATTGTATTAGTTAAATCATTTTTTTATAAGTTATAAGTGATTTGCTTTAATAAATATTTGTTTTAAAATTGAGCTTTAATAAATATTAACTCGTGTTAGAATGGGATTAGAATTGAAACAGGGTATGACGTGCGTGTTAGGGAGTGGGCTGATATGCCATTATTACGAGTTCAATCTAACCATGTGTGTCTTTTTTTGGTTTTCCATCTGTCTTTGATATCTATTGAGATTCGATTAAATTCGAATTCAGTGCCAAAAAATCTTGCGTTAGTAGCAAAGAGCTTGAATTTGAAATCTCTTGATTAAGAATAAAAAAGTATTTATCATTATTATTGGTGTCTACCATATGAGACAATATCAATAAATTCAATCGTCGTTTACTAAAACTTGACTAGACACGTCTTCATCAGCACAAACTCTTTTATTCCATGTAAGTTTTTTTCAAAGATTCTCCAAATGGACAAGAAATTCGTGGTTTTATTTGTTGGGCTTAACGGGTCCAAATATACTTTTAATATGGTTTAATATTGTTCGTTTTAGACTAAATTGGCAAGATTTTCTTCAAAAGTCTAACACCATTTTTACACCTTATACGTAACTTTTCAATTTTTTAACTATCAATATAGAACTTTATTTGCACACGCAACACATTTTATATACAAGAACACACATAATTAACTATTGGTTAATATTTTTCGCTTGTTTATGGATGGTGTGAGTGTGCAGGGAAGGTGCAAAACACTCAATTTGGAGAGGGGCAAAAAGTAAGAGAGCAACAATCAACATGGTGTGGTGGCATTTTCACTCTTTTTGAAACATTTTCTTCTAAGACTCAGTCTGTGTCGTTCTTTACTTTAGTTGCCTAACTTTACACTCTGCCAGATTCTTTGCTGCTTCATTTCACAATCCAACTTTGAAGACAGCATGCCAATATATCATAGGTCAGTGCCCAGTTGAAAAAGAGAATAAAAAGAAGAGTATGCATTAAGTTGATGACTTAATATTAATCTCTCTTGAACTTCAATTTGGCTTCTTAGTCTATGTGTTTACTCTAGCTTGCGAAGTCTAAAGGAAGAAAGAAAATTAGTAGACTTAATCCACCCCTTTCTTCATAACAAAGAAATGTATCAAACTGCCCCTGTAAAGGAGGATTTGAGCGAAAGTCTTGTTCTCTATCTAATATGAGGGTGTTTGGATTGGCTTTTAAGCCGGTCAAATCAGCTTTTAAGCTTTTTAGTTTTTTTAGTGTTTGTCAAAAACAACAATAACAACCCAATATAATCTCACTAGTGTGGTCTGAGGAGGGTAGTATGTACGCAAACCTTACCCCTAAATTAGGGTAAAAAAACTGTTTCCGATAGACCCTCGACTCCCTCTCTCCAAAAATTCCCTCTCTCTTGGTTGGAAGTGGAGAGTGCTCAAAATCAAAAAGTACTTAAAATAAGTTAAAAAATGCTTAAAACAACCAAAAGCAAAAAGCAGCCTCTTTTTTTTTTAAGTCAATCCAAACGGGCTCTAGAAATTTAATTTAGAGTATAGCTTAATTAACATCCTCTAAATTCTCCTCAGTGGTGCTGATCCAATGCTATATTGTTTCATCTCAAAGCTGCAGCTGCAGATAATGATAACTTTCCTAATAGTGGCAATATGAACCTGATCCAGATGGGATCTAAAAATCTAAATCGAACATACCTAATCATATTTCCTTTCAGAATCAACAAACACGCGATTGCCAATAGAGGTTCTTTCTCAGCTGAAAAAAGTAGAAAAGAGATGGTATCATTTATACCAATGAATTCTTTGGAGAACTCTGTTTGACACTCATTGTGCCAAAACCAAAGAGCAAGCACCAATTTCTGAAAGCAACATTCTATAGACAAACAAGGCAGGAAAGACCATGAATCATGTTTTAAATTTGTCGACAAATCCTTACTCTAAATCTAACCACAATTCAAGGAATATAACATCCATAATACATCTCAAAAATTAATCTAGGAAAAAAGAGGATTTGTGAAATCCACAAACTATAAATAAAACTGCTGCTGACCATAAGTACTTGCTCATTATGATTTGTCTCTAGTTTGACAGATTCAGTGATGTAGTTGAAGTTATGTCAAATTAAAACTAATCCTAGCAGGAAACAGTGAACACAAACAAAGATTGAAAATTTCAAATGTTTTTACGCATCAAGACTTTTAGATCCTAGCCTGAAAATTCATCCTATATAATTGACCTCCACATATAATTGCAATTCTACAGCCCAAAATCAAGAAATGTATCATAAAATGATCTTTACTATGTGCAAACACTAACATATCAGTTGAGTCAAACATCACAATCTGCAAAGACAAGAATGTAGTACCAATAAAGACAATCCATAATTTCAGACACAAAAGATAGCCAAACGTAGAGCAAAAAAGAAAACTGGATTGTTTCTTATAATACTAACACTTTCCTTCACTTTAACAAGATCCTTAAACATTAATCCAACTCACATAACAAAAGGGAAAATACTAATCCTGTACTCAGAATATTTCACTCACTGCGACAAATAATCAAACACCTTCAACGCGACCCATGGTTCGACAATCTAGGCGATGTTCTCGTCACACTTGCTGGTGTCACCAACCCACTCTTCAAACCCTTCTTCAATCTCTTACCCTTAACCTTCCCCTTATTTACTACCTCAACCACCGCCTCTCTATTTCTCCCACTTCTTGTTCTCCCTTTCACTAACCCACTTACAGAAACCCTATCAAAATCAGCATCCAATTTCCTAGCTGGGCCCCTTTTTTCCACTCTCTTCTCAATTTCCTCTTCATTTTCATCCTCCGATTCATCAACCAATCGCATTTTCCGTTTCAAATTCAACGGAGCAGGGGGAGGAGATGGACTTACTGAGCTCGATGATGACAAACAAACCTTTACAGGCGACTTCTTTTGGGCTTTTTTCTCAAACTTTTCGCGCTCAGCTTTGAGTTTTTTAATGTTACCTTCGATCCGGCCTTGTAAACGGAGGCGTTTGAAGCTGAGACCGCCCATTGACCAGTGAGCTTCCTCTGCCCATGACATTAATGGATCCAAAACGGATACCGGTGGATCGACCCGTTGTTCGCCATTCGGGTTGGAGTAAAACCGTGGCCTAGGTAAGCTGCTGCCGTAGAACTTTCCCGGACCTAGGGCTACAACCATGGCGGCGCTGCTAATACTGAATGAAAACTATAAAAATTTTATGTATAAAATGTTAAAATAAAGACTTTGAGAATTGATGCAAATTGGTGTATTATGTGGGAGTTATAAATAGTGGTTATTGTGTATTAAAATGGAGGGAAACCTTAAGGCGGGAAGATTGGCGCCAAAAATCTACCGCGCTCTTTGCAACTTTGAGTAGTTACGACTTACGAATATTTTCCGCCATTTTGGATCCGTAACTTTTGGCGGGGAACCCTTTAGGTTGGCGAGAGTAGAAACAATAACTTTAACGCATAATTCTTTTAATAAAATAATATAACAATGTTTGTTTCGTCATATAAGAAAAAATTAATTTTTACTTTACTAATGTAAAGTTGGTTGGCAGCTCCAATAATACATGCATTAAATTATGCAGTAATTTTAGACAATTTTATATGAAATAAAATGGGGAATAATGATATAGGAGTATGTGTTAGTAGTTTATAGATAAGTGTGTTCTTATTTAAAGACAAAAGTACATTAAATGTAAGTAACCTTTACATATATTACTACTTCTTCTATCTTATTTTATGTGACAAATTTACTAGAGGAACGTTAATGTGTATATAAGAGCCGCAAAATTGGTAATTGGATATTTAGTTTCTTATATTAAAATTAAGATGTATGCAATGTATGATCTACAATTTGTGAATGTGGTGGTTTTAAATTTGATAAAATGTTGCTTTCAATACTATCTTGGTCTAGATTAGATCATTTTATCCAATCTATTTTATTATCATATGATTAGCATAAGTTAATTTGTGTTATCACCAATTAGCATAACTAATTAAAAATTACATTTAAGTATAAAATTATCAGTTCTAAACATCTCAAATAAAGAACAAAGAGAAAAGTTAAAATAAAGACACTAAGATATGATATTAACGAATAAATAAATCTTATCTTCCTTGTTTTAGCACTTTTTGTTCATTAATAAAGTCAGACTATAAAATATATTAGTACACAAATAATGTACTAAGTCGAAGTAGTTAGCTGAACAAGTAATTAGTATAAAGGACATCTTTGCGTTTCATGCACTCTAATACATGTTTTGTTCCATATCAATTAGGAACAAAATTCTAAAATAATTACCGCATAACTAATTTGGTATATCTTCAATACAAAAATAAAATACTGCGACCAAACCCAAGTCAAATAAGTTGGAGTCTGTTATATAAATTGGGCAAGACATACATTTGATTAGTCAGCCAAAAATAATTACATTTGTTAGTTAAATATACAAATATATATATATATATATATNTATACTGTATAGTTTTCCATATAAAAGGCAAGTCACACTTTTACCATGTTGGTGGACATAGTGTATATACTATATAAAGTACTTAGCTTGCGTTTGGACATAGATTTGGTCCAAACTTAAAAAAATGAGATGCAAAATAATTTTTGAAAGTTGAATTTGTATTTGGACATGCATTATTTTATTTGAAAAGAATTTGAAATTTTATGAGTAGAAAACTTCAAAAACTACTCTTGAGTTATTTTTGGGATTTAAAGATTTTGTTTTCAACACCTGCCAAAAATGGTTAAAATATAGGCAGAATGGCCTAAATGACACCTAAACTTGTGTCACTTTGTCATGTTGGTCCCCAAACTCAATAATTTGCCAATTGAACCTTTACACTCCTTCAAACCGTGTATAATAAATGCTTATGACATGAGGTTGTCAGTGCGCGTAACACAATCTCTTCCACGTTGGCTGCCACGTCAAAAAATAACAATGTGTAGATGCCATGTCACATGATAGATTGAAATTAATTAAAATCAAACATTAATCCCCTAATCCCCTCCCTCAAATGGTGCGACTGCTGTGAACAATAACATAGCAACGGCGGAATGGCCACTGTGCCGTCGTCCGGAGGTGAAAAGCCACCGGACCAGTCCCAAAAGATGCGTCTCACCATTGCGCATAAAACCCACCTAGGCGCCCCTCTCATTTCTTCCCAAGCTGCTGTAGATTTCAACAAAGGTGGATCGAGTACTGCAGCGAAAAATTGCCTAAGCAAAACTGATATTTATCATATCGGCTCTGGTTCGAATCGAGTGATTCCAAGCAGTGGAGATTGTTCTCCACTTCAAATACCATCAAACCACCAAGTTTCAGACAATTTCAATGCTGGAATAGTCTCTTCCAACCAACTGAATATGGCCGGCGAACACGAGTTGATCGGTCATGGAGCTATAGGTGTCTAAATTGAACAAGACCAATGCCAATTGACTCTAGCTGAGCAAGTGATTGATGCAAAACGATCAAACAACAACTACAATGAACAAATCGTCACAACAATTCAAAAAACAAAATATGCAGAATTGCAGACACCAGGTGTTCGACGAAATGCTAAAGTCTGTTTTAACAAATCTTGCCTTGTTTGATTTTTGAAATTGGGGGTTAAATTTTCTCAAAAATCTCTAATCTTTTTAAAGGATTAATTGGTAAAAGATGTATAATTTGTGCTTCAAAATCCTTTATGGGTTAATTTTGAGGTGTGATATTTTTTGAGAATTTTTCGGTTGACCTTCTTTTTGGTTTGTTGGTATTTTGATAATTTGATGTGTTTCCCTTCTACACAAAGGGCATATGATTGAATTTTAAAAAAAATCTGAATTATTGGCCAAAGAATTCTAAATTCATGATAAAGTTTCAGATTCGAAGGAAGAAACAAACAAAGAAGATAGGGGAGAGGAGAAAGAATTAGGCAGAAAATGTTGAAGAGAGAGAAAAGAAAGAATTGGACAGAGAAAAGCAATAAAGAAAAGCTCATTTTTGTTCAACAATGGAAGATGAACAATCAGGAAGAAGATGACAGCCAAAAAATGGCTCTTGGTGCCTTTTTAATAGGCCTCACGCTCCTTAAACGAGTGTAGCACACGCACTTCGGTAAAAAAATGCCACATAGGATGAGCGGGGTTTAAAATGCTCAGTTTTTAAGGGTAGAGAGGTTTGGTTGGCAAACTTGTAAATACGAATACCGTCATGACAAAACTGGACAAGTAAAAGGGCCTCCCAAGCTATTTTGCTAAAATATTAAACAAACAGATGTTTGAAAGCAATTTTTTTTTAAAAAGACTCCCAAATTTTATGGCCATACGGGAGGTTAGTTCAAGTCTTGTACATTCAGGATATAATAATACTTTACATAATTAGATCACTTAAAAAGGTTAGTGCAAATAGCTACGTAATAAGCATGAACTAGTGACCTAAAATAAATACTAAATAACTTGCTATATAAAAATAAATTACACACAGATGGTGCAAATATCTTTACATTATTAGTGCAAATAACTTACAAGTTAAAATTCTTACTACTATAACTTGTTTAAATACATATCTAGTGTAAAAAAGAAAAAAAAGAAAAAAAAAGAGACTTACGAGCTCATAGTAGGGCCGTGCATAATTTGGTAAATACCGAATTGCCATACCGAAATTGAAAATTTTGGTATTCGGTATGGTATTTGATTTACGTTTTAAAAAACATTGGCATTAGGCATGGTATTTGGTACTTTAAAATGAAATACCAAAATATATATTATATTACACAATACATATATTATTAATTATAACATAAATATAAATAATCTAAAATTTTACTTTACTTTATTCTCTAAGTTTATCAATTAACTCTAAGCAAGCCACACGACATTTCTAGTGATCAAATTTATTTCTTTATGTATAGTTTTCTCTCTCTGGGTTGATATTTGTAGATTTTGGATAAAACTTTTGTCAACAAACGTTTTTAGTTTTGTACTTTTTAGTACTTTAATTAGGAATATTACAGTCTATGACTCAATGCACTAGTTAATATTCGAACCGAATAAACCGAAGTTACCGAACAGAATAAACCGAAACCGAAAAAAGAAAAGTCGAATCATACTGAATTTAATTAGGTACGGTATTGGTAAAGCATTTTAAGAAATCGAATACCAAAAATATCAAACCGAAATATCTAAATACCGTACCGATCGACGAACACCCCTCTCATAGTCTCTCTTTCTTTCATGAAAACCAACATGTGGAGAACTTTGACAGCGAGTCTTCGGAAAATATTTATCTATGTTTGTTGTTTACACCAAATCAAACAATTTAATCATTATTTTGCTATAAATTAAATTGAGAATACTTGTAAATTTTTTTCTCAAAATCTTCTATTGAAGTTGATGGCAATGGAGGGAACAGAAGACTTACCAGGGCCAAGTTGGAAACGCCTGAAACTTCCAGGCTCTCCTTCTCCTGGATTTATTTTGCTAATTTTATCATTATCTCTGTATATTTCCCATGCTTTTTCTGCACGTATGTTAAGCACAATTTCACCTTTCATTGCTTTCATCTCATCTATCTAGATATGGATGAGATATGTACTAAATCTTATTATATATTTCGACGCGAATCTGAATTAATCGAGTTAGTGAGTTTTAATTCAAATATCGAATGTGTAAAGCAAGGGGAAATAAACATCCCAACATATATTCCGTTAAGCCGTGAAAGCAGCCACTAATGTTTGCATTAGGGTAAACTGTCTACTAACACCCCTTGGGGTACGGCCCTTCTCCGAACTCAGTGTGAATGCGAGATACTTTGTGTATCGAGCTACCCTTATATATTCCATCTTTGTGATGCAGAACACCACTGACAAAGTGATTATGAAAGATTTTCTAGAAAAATTTCTGAATTTAAGGGCGATTATCCTAGTATGAATCCAACAACCAATGTAAGAAGGGTAAATTTCACAAATAGTCATATAACTATGACATTTCTTTTTAATCAAAGTCATATAACTTTGTTTTTTCACACAAAAATCATAAAACTTTCACTAGCTCACACAAAAATCATCACAATTTTCCGGTAGTATAAGCTTTAAGGCGATCCATTTCTTCAGTAGCTATAAAAGAATGTCACATAGTATTAGATATAAACTCAGATGCCCTAAAGAGTTTATTCTCCAAAAAGTTGCTTTTCTAACAACTTTAACAGCAACAGAAATCAAATCTAGGAGATAGAGAAAGAAGAGTGAGAAGAGAGAATAAGCATCTTGATTAAATGGTGACCGTCAAAATGAATAACTGCTGCACTCTAGAAAGTGAAAAACAACAGCTAGGAATGTACAAATTGTGAGAATAGTCATACATGGATTG